AACCAATACAAAACGAAAATGATAAAATACAAAATAATGAGACTTGCATTAAATTTATCATCACATTTATAATTCCAAATGTAAACCAATAACGATTGTCACGTGTTGTAATTAAGTTGATATTGCATAGGTCAATGAAACTAATAGAGAGGTCACGAAAATAGTTTAGTTTCAGTCTGAAAAATGACTTAATGTGAAAGGAATAAAGTTGATGTTTAAAAATGTTGTCGGAGGTCGGTGTCTCGTGCTGTCAATTGTTGGCTAATTTATGTTTTATTGCTGGAATTGATCTTGAGATTGTCGAAGACTTCGAGTGTCCTGCGGTTTATTGTTCGCGACGTGGTCAAGTGTGAATTGGTTAGGAGCGCGGGAAGTGTTGTTGCCTAGTGGTTATAAGTACAGAGTTAAATTGGATGAGATGTCCGGCTAGTTACAGATCGGATATTTGCAATTACCAATGCTTTGTTATGCTAATATTGCTTTGTATAGGTTCATTGGACCATGTGATGTTTATTGCAACAATACTACTACTAGTGAAAATGTAAGTATGTAGTTGATTTGAGATGGTATTATCTTCACAGAAGGTATTGATTGTGCAGCGACGTATCTCTTGTCCGGTCGCGTGATGAAGAATGTAGGTAACTAACAAATCCATTCCATTATCATTGTTGGTCCTTTAGCTTTCTTGATAATTAAATTGTTTTTTTTTTTAAATCGAGACTCTTTCGTGTATTTTGCTTTTTGTGCATTAGATAAAATTTTAATAAATAAAGTAAGTAATATTAAAAAAAAGTTTTTGTTTTTAGAGAACTACGAAGATAATATTGATTTGTTTATTAAAATAAAAACAAACATATTCCGTGCACGGAGAAAGAGCTATCATCTTACGGACCAAAAACTATACTTTTCTATTCCCACCCTACACATATGCATATGGGTAACGAAGCCTGTTATCACAACAGGTTTGTATCTACTTGTTTCCAACCTAAGCAGGTACTATTTTTGGGGGCCAAGATAGAATAAACAAATTTATTTATTGCGATCAATAAATCGTTACATTGTGGTCCGTAACTAAACCAGACAATGGAACGTTACGGTGACTAAATGTAGGTTTATCAATATTTGCTAACCCCTTTGTAGAGCACGACAATACACATACAGTATGTGGTTCGACATACGCTACGCTTCTATCAAATATTCTAGGAATTTTGTGGTAAACAGAGACCACGTCTTGTCTGCGTCTCGAAAGTAGTTTACCTGAGGTGTACCTCATAAAACTTGTTCCTCCTCTAACTCCGACCCACAAGTTACACTCCGTCAGACTCAGTTGCTAACTCCGGCAAGAATTTTCCCTCCGAAATTGACTTGCGAGATGTTAAAGTCGATTCCAGCTCGTCCAACTCTAGGCGACCTAAACCGTACCCCCCTTCGGCATACAGATAGTAGGGGGAGCAGAAATAAGGGCAAAGGGATGCAGTGGGAAGTCTCAAAGTCGTCGTCCGTTGCGAATGATGCGTTCGTACCTAGTCACATAGCCCTTTGCCGCTTATATACACAGTGACATTGCATAAGAGCGATAGAGATAAAATTACTATTGCACTATATGCTTCAATATTAAACCAGTGCCGATGTGTGCGTGGCGAAATTAAATGAAATACATGGAAATGGAATAGGCGCCGCCCATCACTCATACAAGCATCGTATGACGTCAATAACTATGGAAAGGATTTATGTAGTACATCGGATTTTCACATGAATTTTCCCTTTGATAGCAACGTAGCACAGTTCACAAGTTACGCTAACAACTGAAATATTTGCCAACTTAACAATTTTCAACTATAACATCCAGTAATAGTTTAGTTATCTATTCAGCAAGTTGCGTACTGTATCTGCAACCTGCAGGCGGAGGGAACACGGGCTTGTGGAACGTTTATGTAAACTTGTGAAGTGCTTGTAATGTTACTGTGACGTACTTTTAAAGTTAATGCTGCGCTTGATGCGTTCGCTATGTGGAACAACGTAATGCTCAGTCCTGCTCTAATTAACGTTTCTTTTTAGGTCGCGGGGTAATACTGATACGTTTAACCTGATGGTAAGCAATTGGTGCGGCCTATGTAGGTACACTTGCAACACTACAGGAATTACGATTACGTTGCCGGTTTTTTATGAATTTAGATTTTGGAGATTTAGGGATTAGGAAGGGATGGAAGAGGGCTTCTGGTAACGTCATTCACATGGCGGAACACACCGCTGTGATTATGTCACGCCTTTTTTCTGTGAGGCCGCGAAAGGAAGCTCAATGGCACAAATATGGGAACAGTTGAAAATTATGAACAACATCAAAACCTTAATATCCTTTTAATAAAATAAATGTGAAAGTTAGTGGGAAGGCATGGATGTATAATTGTTATTCACGCAAAAACGACTTGACCGATTCCATTGATATTTGTATGTAGCCCTATGATACCCTAGCTCGCCGCCCGGCGAGAACCGGACCCGAGCGTACAATAGACCACCACAGTCGGGGCTCAATAGGGCTGATGCTCAGCTGGGGTTGCGAAGTAAGCGCAATGAGGCACCGCGACCTGGGGCCAGAGCAGGAGAAGGAACGGGGCGGTTTTTAGTCAGTAAGAGTCTGACACTCTCTCTCGCCTTACCCTGGGCGGGAGAAGTCATTGGATGATTTTCCCCTGACAAAAAAGCCCTATGATACCCTGGATTAACACATAGGCTGCTTTTCATGACGTACCACACGGGTGAAGTAGCGGACTGAAGCTAGTTATTTATATATCCTAGTATTGAAGCCGGGTCATTATTATTTTTCCAGCTCAACAATGTGTGTGGACAGCAAATTCATACAATGTAATGGTGTTTGGCCATTGGGGACTTCAGAACAGAGTTGGTGATTGCTAGGGCATACAAATAGACCTATATCCAGCTTCACCTACTTTGTAACACATCCCACTGCCCCTGAAGTAAAAAGGAATTTATTATTTACAATATTTATAGCGTCGGCTGCCTCATTGACTTCAAACATACTTTGTATGAACTAGGGTTAGATTTCACTGTCATCTATTATACTAATATTATAAAGAGGTAAAATTTGTAAGTTTGTATGTAGGGAGTAATCTTTGGAACTGCTGGTCGGATTGCCAAAATTCTTTTACTGATAGATAGCTACAATGTTCTTGAGTGCTATAGGCTACAAAACATCACGGTGCGATCAAATGGAGCTGAGCAGCAGGTGAAACCGCGCGAGAGTAGCTATAGTAGTAAGTAAATACGTAGTAGGTTGGTTCGGCTCTACAGAACAATACTCAATAACAGTCACTTGGGGTTCAGATTCGAAATTGAATTAAACTTTGAATTATACATATAATGTAACCTTTTTATTGCTTCGAACATTTTTCTTATGTAGTTGCGTTCTTTCAGATTGTAAGTATTCGTATGTAGGAAATATAAGAGATGACCATATAAAAAAACCTGTACAAAACAATGAAATTCTTTGGGTATTTTGAATTGGAAGGGGAAAGGGATTAGGCCTCCGGTAACCTCCCTTACACAACGCTGTGGTTGTTTCCCGCCGGTTTTCTAAGAGACCGTGGTATCAATCAGCCGAGCCGACCCATTCGTGCCGAAGCTTGGCTCTCTCACATTTATATTTGAATATTATTAAAATAACATGTATTATATAATACGTAGGTAAGAATTTTGAACCTACGACAGTCGCTTCAGTGAGGTCTTTGTTTGAAAAACACTTATTTGTGGGCTAAGAAGGTCGTTACAGGCAGGTACAGGTATCCTTTTCAACCGTTCAACCAGATTGCCGTGTTCCGGCGCGAATGTTGCCAGTTAACATTCTAAAGTCATTTTTCTTTTGTATTTTTTACGAAGATGATGCTTGTTACTACATGGCTGGCTAGCTTGGAATGGTTATTCATATATAATGTAAAAATAAACACTTGCATCTAAAAAATATATATACATAATTCTTTCATAGGTATGCGCTTTCAAAGTTCGAACGAACTAATTTCTATGTAACATGCGAATTATATTTAACAGTCAGATGAATGTTATCTGAGGAATAAAATAGTTGCTGTCCCCGTCTTATACAAATATTCTGACGTGACACCATGACAATTATTCCCCAAGTAACTTTTATCTAACCATTGAAAAATCAGCCCTAAGAGAAAGAAAAATGACGACGCAATATAATGTGATAAACAAGCTTATATCTGCGTTACAAAATTCTGTTCTGTTGTGAAGGATCCTCACCTTCAAGGAAGTGGTCCTTCTAGAAGGAAATGAGGTGCTGACACCAACAGAGTAATTAAAACTTTCAAAGAAGTTTTTTTATGTGACAATAACATGATCGTCCTTGTATTTGTAGTTAGGTAAAAATTACCAGTCACTTTAAACAAGTATCCTTTGTTATGTAATCAGCACCTATGTACGCGATTTCCAATTTTAAAATTCCAGATAATTCCACGCTTTCAAAAAGGAAAGTCAATATTAATTTCATATGTATTTCAGTCCGTATTTTGTAGATATGTCTTTTGCATCCATTATCGAAATGATTGTTTCTGTATCGGTCTTAAAGGCTATCTTTTTTCGAATACTACGAATTTCAATTACATGTGATACGCAATAAAGAGAGTTTTTGCGACGCGAGTTTTTATACAAAATTGCAAGTTTAAAATTATTGATAGGTTTAATGAAACAAACAAGGTATATTTCAAAAATTTTCGGCTAAAGAGTTATGTTACCTGATTTTGAGTTTTATCTCTTACTAACCATTTCCTGTACTTTAATTTGTTCCTAATGTTTTTAAAACTTAATAAACATATTTTGTTTGTGTTTCTATCTCATTGAACCATTTTTCTTGATTTTAATTTGTTCTAAACTATTTAAAACCTTGATATACTGCGTACAAACAACAAATGTGAATGCGCGCCGTGAAAAAACTCCTAACTTGGTCTTAAAAAATGAATAGGACTCACCGGCAGATATCCGTGTTGATTGCGTAAATGCTTTGGTCCCTACTGACGAACGGTGGGTATATTCCAGCATCAGTCCCGTTGATCTGGTTGCAGGGGGTGACTCCACCTTCAGGATTCTTGGCCCAGTGTCTGAAGCGATTGTAGCCGCCGTACTTCAAAATACGAGCCAAGTCTGCAGGGTCATTTAATCCCCGAAGCACTTCGTATTCTTCGCTTGGCAGTTTTTCTTTCTGTAAAAATATAATATACGATCATTACATCTATCGTCCAATCCTGCCAAGCTTAGAGATCATGGAAAACTCTTTTATATACAAGACAAGTAGACCGACAGTGGCCAGTATCGGGTAGTCGCAGATCATTATGAAATTCTCAGACTGGGATATCTACAAGTTAAAAAATGTAATTATCTTTCTGTTCTCATCAAAGTGTATTGTGTATATCATAGTGTATTTTCAGAGGCGCACAGCCTCACAGAAAGCCGGCGTGAAAAAAGCATGCGCAGGGTTTCGCCGTGCGAATGATAGCGGAGCACCAATAGGGTGGATCCACAATTCTTATTAAAAATAAAAAAAGTTTACTATAAAAAATCCAATATCCTCCCCGTTTCTATCCCCGATCCCCAAAATTCTGAAATGGCTAACAGTATTGGGGATACTGTAATACGTAAATCCTTTGATATTGTGGGTTTGAATGGGCGGCGCTGATTGGTTATGACCAGGTAATCCGGCGGTTCGTTTGGCAAAAATATTTCCAGATAATAGTTGAACCTAACCGTATCCGGTATTACAGTTTTTAGACAATACGAACTATAATATCCTACGATACGGCAGAAAAAGACAAAAAAGAGGAAAGGATGGTGGTTGGGGAAGGATTGAGCCTCAGGTAAATTTAGTCGCTCGACGAAACATAACGCTGAGGTTGTTCCACGCCGATTTTCTGTGGGGCCATGTGTCAGTCCGGTCGAGCCAGCCCATTAATCATAAGTAACAAAAACCATACTAAAAACAAAGTTATACTGTAAAATAAAATACTTGATATAACGAACCTAGCCCTGGGCGCGGTAAAACTAGGAAATTAGGGCACGTACAGAATACAAGATCCTTAGTTGCTTGCATCCGCGGCGGCGTGGTTCCGTACTAAGTACGAGTGATTGCCCTCAACAAGTTTGTAAGTGCGACAAGAACATTGAAACTTGAGAAAACTTAAAGAGGTTTCTCGAAGATGTCACGAACACACTTTGTATACTACAAATACTAAGTAAATGCAATCTCGACTTATTATAAGTCGGGGAAATTGCACTCAGATAACTTAGGGAAACATATAAGATTTTTTTGAAATCGCCAATCTGTCTTGAGCAAGCGTAGCGATTAATATTCGAGCTTTCTCCGGCTCAGAAGGCGCTTTTTTTAGAAATGGACGGTTTGTAATAATATATTATATTTATATGGATATACATTTCTGTATTTACGAACGATTTCATAATCTTTGTCATTATCTAATCCAAGCACGAAGTACTGAAGTACCTTATTACCGACATCTACCAAATGACGTACTTCCAATCTGAGTTTAGTAGTTACCAACAAGTCGTACAAAATAAAACCTTTCATTTTATTCAATACGGGTATTAGAGCAAATGATCGTCTTTTGAAAAGGGCTAAACAAATGACATCCCTGTCGAGACGCTCCCCGCGGAGCTCCATTCATCTTTTCATCTGGCTCGATAGTCTTGATTCATAATCAGCCGCAGTTACCTATCTAGTTGGGCGTGGCCCGTGCAGGGAGGGAGGGAGGCAGCGCTCGACCGCTTCTAGGAATTAAGATCAATACACGTCGTTTGTCACACAATCTGGACTAAGTACTATATAATAATGTCAGATTACAGAACATAGATTTGCTCCGTGAGGGTGCAACAAGTGGTGACGTCATTGCGAACCGACCGGCGACCTCGTTTGTCGGTGGAAAAAGGTCACAAGTTATAAGTCGATTTTTAAGCGAATACATTGAGATAGGAATGAGATCTAGATCTGAAATGTTGGAAATACGAGAAACAGAAAGATGTAGTCGTGGAAAACCTGTAAATCCATTCGTTTTCCTTGTGATTAAATAAATTTTGATTGAGACATGTTAACATAACAATCTCGTTACTTATTAAAGTTTCTAATTAAAATATGTACTTACATAATCTAAGATAGAGAAGACTAGAGAATCATCTTCCAATTGTTCAATATTCCTGGCTCCTTGGGCGATGTCCCTGATGATGTTGCACGCTATGGTCGCTATCAGGCCGGTGTTCTTGCACAGCGTGATACCACTGAACAGGAGCTGACGGGCAGTGATATTGACGAATGGCTGATTATTTTCTCCAAAAACACCGTCTATTGCAAGGTTTACCAGCGGCATCAAATTTGGGTAGAGTGTCTCCGCAACTTGGATGATAGCCTACGAAACAAATAAACGGTTCAAATTAACGCTGGACTTAAATGATAGGTCTGTGATTGGTAAAGCACAGCCCGCAGGCAAACTGTCACCTGTAAACAGCAATGATCGCTTTGCAACGTCCGTAATTGCACGGACACCCGCATTCCATCGTTAAGCGAATATCACCCTTGCGTAGGAAGAGAAAAGTAGGTTGAATTTTGTTAGTTAATATTTTAATTTTACGTGTGTTTTTATTTATTAAGGTCTGTGATATATTTATACCTTTCTATGCAACGTTTCTCTCATGTATTACATTCAACTTTGAAAGGAAATATCAATTATGTTTGTGTAATTCTCGTGTTAATGAGGTTTCTAGAGACCAAGCCCTCCTCTGTCCGTAATTCCCGAATCCTGAAAAACTTAACCGAAATTCCGGCAATGCACTTTTCATTTGATGTTGTATGTACATGAGCGGTGGGTAACACAAAAAAAGCGTAGAAAAAATTATAATTATGGTTTCTTTATTGACACAATAATAAAATCAAATAAAAACCCTGCAATATTACATTCCTGGTACCTCTCATAATTTGAATGTAGGCAAATAACAAAATATTCGCTGAAATATACCTATTTACATATTCAGATTTTACTGTGAAATGATTGAATAAACTACACTTTGAAATACGGCCGTGTGGTAGTGTGGGTGAGGGTTGTGCATGGACGTATGTGTGTTGGGGTGGCAAAAGGGGGGAAGGGGGGTGCGTGCACTTCGTAGGTGTGAGCAGAAGGGGGAGGTTTGCGTTTAATTCCTGTTACAGCATTTATCTTCATTATTTTTTTCCACAGTAGGTACCCGCTGTAGTATTTTCCTAGACGTGAAGAGTGAGACTGACTGATAAGATAATTTAGCGCGTAGGGAAATGAAGATCCTAATAATGATGCGCTTTAAAACTGTTCTGAGGTCTTTACACAGGTTGATTTCTGCCGTGTGGCTCGTCATTCGTTCCCTAATTAACACAAATGTATTAATATTTCCTTCTTCAGATTACCTAAAAAATATCATTTATACGGTCGATTTTAATGAGAATGGACCTACCCGCGGCCAAATTGTACCCTGGCAAAGATTGGGACTTTCTGCTAGCCTTTGAAAGAAGAGAAATGCCACTAAGACGGTCAATTATAGCGTTTTGGCATAAAATGTGCGGCTTTAGTTACCCGTATAACATTTGAGACAGGTTTAGCTACTTAGATAGTCGAATAAATGATGAGTTAAGGAATTTTTACACGCTTTTACAGGTCTCCTGATGTTGGCACCGCCTAAACACTAGAATTACATTACATTCTTTCAGCATTTTGGTTACCGGCGCTTAGTGCTTAAGTGCGGATTATTTGTTCATATAACCGACCTTTCCGACAGGACATAACAGGTCATTTAACAAAGAAATAAAGACCAGTCACGACCACCCACGCATGTCACAACTATACAGAATGTACACAAAGAGCCAAATCAAAGGCTAAAAGAAATAATATTATGAAAACCAATGAAATTGCCCATTCAACAGAATATTGTCACAACACAGTTGACATCACATTCACAACATCTTTAAGATATCTTTTTGTACAGAAAAAAAAGTGCCTTTGTAATCAAAACTAGGGACATCAAAAGACATCTATGTCGATCTTACATAGGATCAATCAACACCTATTTACCTATATATCCTATTTTGTTACGACTATATCGAAACTAACATGACAACCCGAGACAGTTAGGTCTTGTAAAAACTGAAAGTACATCTTGATCAAGGTTCTCCGACAGAGAAGAGGCCTTTGCTTAGCAGTGGGCTGGCAAGTGGCAGGTGGACTACATTCTGCGTTTAAAACGTACTAATTTGTTTGCAATTTGTCCATTTATACTTTAGTAAATAAAATTATCTGTTTATGTATTCCTAAGGTCTCGAGAGATATCTTTTCTTACGTTTTAAATGAAAACAACACTACAACTACCAAATACATAAATTGTATTTTAAAATATGAAATTCTAATTCATTAACGTTGTTAAGAGAATATCGAAATAGTCTCTCTTTTATAATAATATTTATCAATATAATACACAATTTTAATTTTTTGTTGATTTACCAATACTTATATTATAAAGTGGTATTGTAATTCGTTTATGTAGGGGTAATCTTTGGAACCGCTGGTCAGATTTCCAAAATTCTTCACAGATGGATACCTATAATGTCCCTTAATGCAGGCTATAAAACATCACGCTGCTATCAAAAGTAGCTGGCAGCTAGCAGTAGCTAGTATTTTGTATACCGAATTATGGAAAATACACTTTACTACCGTCGCTTCGTTTAACTTGTTAGTCTGACCGACGAAACGAAAACTAAGTACCAGTGTTTATTCTTACCGTTATATTTAATTTAAAAACTCAATAGGTATATTCCGAGACATCTATTATTTATTTGGAATTTTAAAATAAATCCCTTTTACAATAAAAACCACTCAAAATAACACCATAGTTATTAATAAATATTAAATGGTTTGTACAGTTAACCAAAAACTAAATACTTTTATTTTTTATTGCTATCACCTTAATTGATAATAAATATTTCGAACGCTGTTGTTTATTTTTAAAATATTCTCCATTGTTTTCTTTGCACAAATTCTTGTTGATACAGTTTAATGGAAAATGTACTCTATTTGTGTATGTAAAAATGTTTCTTTTTTATTTTTACAGCATTTCATCAGATCGATTTATTACTAGGTAAATACGTAAGTAATATAAAATAGGTGGTCAGGTTCTTTTTTTCTATTCTTGTTTATGGCCCGTTTCACTATGTATTAATAGCGGCTATGTACTTAATATATTTGAATATAGAACGTTATTAGAATGAACCAGTTACGTGCCACATAAGTTGAATAAACATAAGAGTTAAGTTAACCTTAGTCACTATTACGTAGGTTTACCTACACTTAATGAAACACAGCATTTAGTGCTTTCGCTATAGTTACAAATTATAAAAATTAACAATTACAGTTTTAAATTTAACTAATTAGTATGAAGTGAAATCTTAAAACAACATTCTGAAGCAGATATCTTTAACCGATTCAACTGAAATTTTGTATGATGCATACTTAATTTGCATGGCTATGAATATATATAGTGTTCGGTGTCATTCTAAATCCAAATTGACGGAACATTCAAATTGCTACCTATATAGGTATCACTTATTTTTGGTTTAATTCCTACAACATGGAACTCGATGATAGGCCTTGCTAAAGAATTATTCGAAAAATAAAGGTCATTCAAAATTGCAGAACAAAATTAAAAAAGAAATTTAAGATAGTGTGTCAACTATATCAACTTAAGCAGTACCACAAAACGAGTATCAAATAAAATGGTTTCCTAAGAGTAATTTGAAAAATATAATGACGCATCTTTGAATCCAAGATGGCCGAACTTTCAAGAAGACAGATCAGTTATTTTTGGTGCTAATGAGAGAGATAACTGAAAGTATTACAATAATCATAATATGATGGAAAATACCCACTATAATGACAGAAATATCGATGTTTACATAACTAGCGAAAAGTGGGTATAACATTTGATATGTGGCTAAACAGTACCTTTCCTCGGGGGATAAAAGTCTTGACGTCATGTAAGAAGAAAATAACAATACCTGGCATTGAGGGAATGTATCATTTTCATCTATTTACGGTTGCCATAGCCACTAAATGCCAATTAGTAACAAAAACGCGCAGGTTGCGAAGATATCATTTCCACATCTACAAAAATATTATAAAGAGGAAAAATTTTTACTTATTGTACGCGTGTATGTTTGTAAGTGATTAAGCCAAGAACAACTGTGCTGATATTTTAAAATTTCTTTCTCCATGAGAAATATTGACCCTGTGAAACAGAGGCTATACCTACATATTTATTGCTAGAAAAGATTGGGGAACCTTACAAATATTAAAGTAACGTAATCCAGGATACAACGACATGCCTCAAAACGACAACTAGGTAGGTAGGTATTATGGAATGTATCAATCTACAAAAAAATTCTTAATACCACCTTTGCAACTATTATCATTATATCACAATAACTAGGTTTTAAAAGATAATACAAAATTTAAAAATATTAAAAAAGCCATGCCCTACCCTAGGATTTTTCCCATATTGTGGATGCGTTCACAAACATACACATTACACCCAGACACTGAACAAAATCGGACCATAACATCACACCTTCTTGAGTATTTTGTGACAAAAAATCTTATGTCCACCTGGGCAAAGTCGCGAGTGACCGCTAGTTGTAATGACGCGGTAAATAATTAGGATAATATTTGGTAATAATTGTTTTTGTATTCCGTAGTTATAAAAACGTTTACCTATGAATGTTTTCTTTCGGATCTAGTTTCAGAGTTATATTGGGCGAAAAAGATAACATCATGTGGGAGACCCAAGAGCCATATTTATTTGTTTTTAGAAAGAAATTCTATTCTGAACATCTATTTTGTCTTTATGAAAACAATTGACTTTTGGTGTAGGCTTATCTTTTACTCGTATTTCGCAGTTTATTTATAAGCTTAATTATTTCTTAGTTAGTTACTTATATGTGTGGGAGAGCCATGCTTCGGCACGAATGGGTCGGCTCAACCGCAGTGACACCACGGCCTCACAGAATACCTGCGTTAATACCACTACACCGTGTAAGTGAGGTCATCGGAGGCCCAACCCTTCCCTCCCATCCTCAATCCTTAAATCCCTTATAACCCACAAGGGCAGCAACGCACTTGTAACTTCTTTGATACTACGAGTTTCATTGGACGGCGCCGTTTTTTTACAACCAATTACAATCACCTATTTCCCAAACTATTCCATAAAAAAAGTAAATATTTGAAGTCGTGGAAAGTATTTGTGACATTTGTAAGGTATTTTGAATTTTAATTGACTAGTCATTGGCCAGGCAACAAAACAGTTGGGTATGCCTGCCTCCCGCTAGGTAGACAGA